TGGGAAACTTTTCTTTCAGGTACTTTTCCCATGTGGACCTGCTGTGTGTTCATACACACGTACGCACAGAGCCATGCTTTCACTTGCAGAGCCTAATCATAAAAAGGCTGAAGAGCTAGGACGTCAGCCAGCTAATTAAAAACAAAACCAGAGAAAAGAGAAACCAAAGACTTAAAGAGGCAGGGGGTTAGGAGCTCCTGCAGTCTCTTGAATGCTCCGAGTAGGAGCTGAGATTGCAGTCAGGGAGCCAGACAATGATATGCTATTGGCATAGCATTTGTCATTAACAGGTCTCCTTCAGATGCAGGGACTGACTGGTCACAGGAGTGCTTTCATCACGACTTCCTCTCCCGAAGGCAGCTGGTGCTGAGAATTTTGGAAGTTTGCTCTTCCCCCTCCAGTGGCTCCTTGCTCTGAAAGGCCTTATGGTTTGCCATCTTCACTTACCCTGCCTTGCGACACCTGTCTTGGGCCACTCAAGGTCGAGTTAGGTCATCCGTAGTGAGCGTCAGTTTTGGGAGTGGCCCACTTAAGATCAGCAGGTTCAAAAATATTGGGAGGTTTGTATCCTGCAGGGACCAAGCTCTGGGACTCCTCCTGCCCCAAATCCGAGTTGCACACACATGAGACCACATCTGAGACGGCTCTGGGACCAGAAAGTTTGATATAAAAAATCCTATAAAACAGCTGATGACTCAGTGGGGTGGAGGGGAGAGGGACGGTCACTCATCATTCTGCCATCAACAAAATATAAAATAAACCGGCGAAGTGTACGACTGAGGCCAGCACTCTGGCAAACAAGCCAACCTGCAGCAAAACTTCCATTTTGGAACCGAGCTAGAAGTCAAACTTTTAGAATCTGTCTCTTGAGGGAGAAAAGCGACTTTGAAACCGACTAAGAGACAAACCCACTTCAAAGAGAACATTTTCTAGAAGGCTGGTGGGGCTTCCCGTAAAAGTTCTAGACTCCAGACTCAGATGATCGGCTATTGTTCATTGTGCACAGCCGTGCTCTGGAATCCAGTTGGGAAACAAGCCAGAACTGTAACAATATGATCTGTTAATAGCTTAATTTCCTGCTTCCAAATGAACCATCCTTAGGCACCGATCAGATATAGGAACCGAGAGGTGGCTGAATGAGGGGTAGGAACTCGATCACATGCCTGTCCTAGTGACACACACAACAGGGTAAAGTTACAGTAGAAGCGGGTGATGTTGCAGTTTTGGTTCCTCTCCTTTCTCAGGCTGGGCTGGGCACGCCGCATGCAAGGGTGTTGTTGAACAGTAAATGATTCATTGAAAGACATAGGAGAAGGACAAGTGGGGGTTTAAGGGAAAGCAGCAATTAGTCAGCAGCTGTGACTAATACGGAGAGGATGGGCTAGGCGGTAGTCAGGAGAAATGGGACGGAGTGCACGCTGGTTCCTAGGGGTTCAGGAACTCAGGGGTTGCTCCTCCTCCACCTGCTAGGGTGAAGTACAGCATCAGCTGACCAGCTAGTGGAGCCATCTTTGGGGGCTTCATTCTAGTATTTTCCTTCTCCACCGTCCCTGAAAAAGGCCAGGTAAGGATCCCCCCCTCACTGTCCATACAGACTGGGAAGGGACATGACAACGGGAAGAGTTGAGCAAGCTAAGAAAGTGACTTTCGGAAGAGATGAGACCAGCAGCAGCAGGCAGGTGGCTTCAGCACTAGTCGTGGGATCTGTTTTGTGAGCTGAGCATTGACCATAAGCCATTGGGTCAGCCCAGCTGTCTATAGTCAAACACCAGGGGGCTGAGTGCAGGGTGCAAGCTGGTGCCCAAACTGCCCAGCCGTGGGAGCAGCAGCTTCAGCCCCCGTGAGAGGAAAGACCGGGTCAGTCTGCCTGGCTGAGCCAAGGAGCAGCATGGTCTGGGTTGGCTTCTTCCGCCCAAGAGCTGGAGTCGGGCTGCGATGACGCGGGGCCCCGAAAGGAGGGGAAAGAGGCAGGGTGGAGAAACACAGTGAAAAAGCCGCACGAGGAATGCCCCAGGGAGCAATTGCAGCTGAGCGAGGACACAAGGGGGGACTCACTCTGTGCCTAGCTCTGCTCTTTCGCTACTCGCTGTGTGTCCGGCTCCTGCCTCTAAGGTGCAGGGAAGCAGACGGCAGTCCCTCTCCCCCCACATGTAACCATATGCCGGGCTGCTTTACTGGGAGGCAGGAGATCGGGCGAGAGCCAACCCCCCGTCCCGGGAGTGGCGTCCCAAACTAGCGCCCGGTGCTGCCAACGCACGGTCCCACCTTTCGAGATGATCAGCGCCACCACAACCTTCTCCGCAAAGGCCGCGCAGTCCAGCCAGCCTGGGAGAGGCGCCGGCAGTGACTTGCTGGGCCTCGCGTTCTTCCCACCCCTTCACAGACCTGCCTTGAAATAGATTCGGGGTCCAATCCTGCAACTGAGCCCACGGGGCCCTTTGTCTGGGAGTCCGGTGGGAGCAGGGCTGGGCAGGTAGCTTCTTTACCCCGCAGCTGAACAGGTCTGGGCACCCCCCAGACACTGGCAGCGGATTCTTCACAACACCCCCGTCAGGCGCCAGAGTGCTTTATCTCCCCCGACAGGTGAAGTGACGTGCCCAGGGCCACACAGGAAGTTTGGTGAGTGAGGAACTGAACAGAGGTTGTCTTTACACACCAGCACCCGTCTCACAAGACCAGAGGGGATAAAGTACGGCCCACGGGCCTGTGGGACCCTTCTGTCTGGCCCCTGGGCTCCTGCCTCGGGAGACAGTGCGGTCAGGGACAGTGCCGGAGGGGTGGATAGAGGGCAGGGGTTGAATCTTGCCATGCTTTCTGGGGAGGCACCCCCCCCCCCAGTCTTCCCTACCAGCCCTCCATACAATTGCCCCGATGTGGCCCCCAGGCCAAAAAGTTTGCCCATCCTGCTATTCAAGTGGCAAAGGCTACATGCGTGCTTGCTGTGTAGCAGGGTGTGAACCAGCGCCCCAGCTCTGGCTCTCCACGTCTCTCGTCTCCATGTCACTCCACTGGACACAGCCCCAGCTGCTAATGTCGCAAACCTCCTCCAGCCGTAGCCAGCCCATGCCAACCGTATGATCTGAAACCGGAGCCTCGGTGTTCGCCTCCAGAATCGGAACTTACTGGCTTACGCGCTCCTGCGGCCGGGTTTGAAGGGCTTAACGCTGCCGATAGCCCACTGGAGGGAATTTCAGAACTCGCTGGGCACCTGGCTGCTCACGTTACACACGTTTATTGGGCATCAGCTCTGCGGGCTGGAGGCATGAGGTGGAAACAGGGCCGGATTAAGGGGGGGGCTAGCCGGCCAGCTGCTCGGGGTGCCAACCTATAGGGGCGCCTGATTGAAGTGGTAAGGGGTGCCGTGCCCGGGGCGCAACTATGAAACGTCCGTTTGGCAGGGATTTATGCCCTCGCCCAGAGGGGCATGTTACAAAAGGGGCCATGGCATGGTCGCTGATTCTGCCGAAACAGACTCCCACGGCTGCCCCTCCGTAACGTGTCCAATCGGAGTGAGGCCGGTCAATCTGCTGGGCAAAGCAGCCTGGGTCCATGCTTGAGAGTCGCTGTTCAAGTTTCGCCAACATGTTTGTGTTCGAGTCCCCTTCTAGACCACCTGCCGTCTCGCCCACTCAGGCTCATCTCCCTTTGCGGTTACTGTCAGGCAGCAGGGGCTCAGCTGGCAAACGCTGGCGCTATCGCTGCAGCTTGCACACAGCGTTAAAGGCCACACTAATCCCTGGGGGGCATCTCCAAAGTCACAGGGAAAATCTGGCAGGGCCAGGAACATAACCCAGATTCCTGGTCCTGTGCCTTAGCTGCATGATCTTCTGTTGTGGAAAGATGCTGCGATTCAGCAGAAAGGCCTGGTTGGATTCAACAAATTGCCACGCACAAGCTGCAGTTTCTCAAGGCCTAGTTGCCATGGTGGTAGAACACTTGGGGCCAGGGGGCGAGGTAGCAGAGACGCTGTAGTGATCCTCGAATTTCCCCGACCTGAGATCAAGTAGGACCCTTGAGTGCTCCGCTGTTCTGTGGGGATACATCTAGACTAGAGTTTGGGGGCCTCTTTCAACTTAACTGACACCCAACTAGTCAGTACGATTGTAAGAACTAGTCCAGTCACTTGCTCTATATTTGGGAGAGTTTGTTTGTTTGTTCAAGAACTCCTCCTACTAGGTAAGAGCTAGGAACACCAAATTTGGTAGGCAACTTCCTCTTATCATAACAAGGTCAGGGTTTGGTTGTGCCAGCACAATGGGATGTGCCTGGAATGGGATGCGTCTCATAACACCGTACAGAAAAGAGACTGAATCACCGGGCAGGTGAAAGAAGCCCCCGTCTGGTACTGCCCCAGCCATACCTCCCCCCCACCCTTAAGGCAGGGTAGGGGGGCTGACACCCCCTCCCTAATTTGTATACGAACATTGCTGGCTATTCCCTTTGTCAGCGAGCAAGGGGAAAGTGCACGGCGCTGCATTCCTCATTCTGCCTGTGGAGTGCAGGGGGCAGATGAACCTGGACCTGCCCCAGCTGGGGGACATTTCCCCCTCCCCCAGCACCAGCCATGGAGAGCCACTTCTCACCTGGCCCCAGGCTGCTGCAGGGAGAGAGGGCTGGGTCTGTCCTCTCTCCCCAGGGCAGCCTGCATCTTGAACCCCTCCTCCCCAGCCCCGCCCCAGAGCAATGATTTAAATGAAGCATGGGCCTTGTCATTGTATTTTCCAAAACATAAACATTAATTGAGTTAAGGACCCAGCAACACCAGGTAAATCTTCTAGGGCCACACATTTGTTTTAGGGTACAGCCAAGAGTAAACCATAAATATTTGTGTCTGGCATAAATGTCTGGGAGGTGGGTAGACGCATTGACGCTGGGGTGAACAGGCGCTTAGTTGAAACTAGCTTTCAAACTCTGCTGTAAGCGCTACGCAAATCCCGAGTCGAGGCAAGACAAACAAGTTCCCCAGCACAAAGCAGCACAGCCGAACGACAGGCGCCTTGTGATGTCGAAGGAATTTTTAATTTTGCACCAATTAGAAACAAAAATTAAATCTCAGCGCAACGCGGAGTGCAAAAAGTTACAAAAACGGGAAGCCATGGACTGGGCTAGCGCTACAGCCCAGTGTACAAATGCAGGCGCCAATTACATTTATAAAAATAAGGATTACATCAGAGGACAAACAAGAGCAAAAAAAAAAAAAAAAAAAAAAAAAAGGAGCGCAGACAAATAAAAGCCATCTGGTGTTTGCAGTCCGCGAGAGGTTAGCCTGCTAGGCCCTTGATACGGACAGATGTGCAACACCGCGCATGTCCTGCATACGGCCAATCTGACAATACGTTGCGAGTAAAGGGACAGATTAAATACACCCGATTCCGGAAAAAGGTCGTGACCTTCGTCCAGGAGGGCAGTTATTAAACACAAATTAAGGCATCCGTGTTCACCTGTTAACTGGCCAGACTGCATTCCCCATACGCTTAACCCCTCCCACCTCACCTGTGGTCTGGAACTCCCCCGTCCCACCCCTCAGCCCCATGCCACTGAAATCAACAGAGCTACGCTGATTGGGACCAGCTCAGCATCCGTCCCATCAGTGTCTATAGTTAGTCCCTGCTGGCGTGTGCAAGTGTGTGCGTGTTGAACAGGCCTGATCAGAGCAGCGTGATCTCGCTGGGGGGGAGGGTCAGTCTCTTCTCGCGCGCGCACAGCAGGCTTTCCACGTGGGTGGCGATCACGCGGCACAGCTCCAGGCCCTGAGGAGGGAAGGAAGCCCAGTGGCGCGTTACGGCATTTTCACTCTGGTGACGTCCCCGCCCCCCGCCCCCCCCCCAAGGCACACGATGAATCGCACTCCTGGGCTGGCCCTGGAATTGTCTGACAGCCGCTGCTCCTGCAATGGCGAAAGCCGAACCCTTGTCATGTACCTCTGTGAGAACCTGCGCTAGAGCACGGGCAAGCCAGGGCCTCTGCTGCCTCTGCACTCGCAGCGTGGCTGCCCTGGACCGATAATGGCGTCTGCCGGCAAGGGTGCAACGCGGTGCGATCCTGTGGGACTCACAGGGCCCAATCCTGAGAGGCACTAAGTGCCCCCCGCTGCTGCCGAGCGCCACCCGCGCCTACTGCTGTCACTGGGAGCCAAGGTCACTCAGCCTGGAGGTCACCAGGGCCTGGCTCCAGCCATCTTCTGCTGCTCCTTCTCTTTCTGGCTGGCCCTTCTCTCTACCTGCTGTCCGGCAGTAGCTCCCTTTGGCGCTTGCTTGGAATCGCTAGGAAACCCCCTCTCACTCTGGCCCGGCCCGTGGGGCAGTGTTGGAGGTGCCTTTTTCCAAAGCAGCCATCACGCCGGGCAGCCCCTGCTTCTACCATGTCCCCCACGTCCGGCGAGCAGTGCCCCCGAGCTGCAAACCACACGCAGCCGGGGCAGTGCGTCCCTGGCACAAGAAAGGACACCGATCAGCTCCTGACGCTGGCAGCGAGATCCTCGGAAAGGGGCCGTGGGTGATAAGGAGCCGCGGGTCTCCTGCTGCCCCATGCTGGGCTTTAAACCACAAGGCCACTTCCCCTCTGCAGCCTGCAAGAGGAACGGAAATTGCTTCTGGCATGGCCATAAAGCCCTGGGATGATCTCCTCAGGCCTCCGGCTGCAGTTACAAGGAGAAGCAGCTAAGGGGCCTTGGGCTTTGGAGACTGATGGGGGAGCTGGATACCTGTCAGGGCAGGATTTCATTGGGGTTTAGACTCAGGGGGTGCATCTGGGTGGCAGTCGGGGGGCCTGACTGCAGTGCGACTAACTGTACCGAGATAGATTTAACCCAGCAGCTGCGGTAACATCAGCAGGGAAGCTGCGGCAGCTTGGACTGCAGCGTGGGCCGATACTTGCGCAGGTCACCTGCACTGAAGTCTGTGCCCAGCTAGTGTTCAGCTGGCTTTGGCCAAAGGGAACATGTATCTATCCATGCAGGCTGCCGACACTCTGAGCTTGTCTCACTTGGCTTCCCTTGTATTTAAGCAGCTGCCTCCATGAGCTGGTTGTCCGAGCCAGCTGGGCAGGGAAAAAGCCAAGCCTGTGACGAGGCAACCCGCCTGCACTTACATGGTGTGTGGAGATACCGGGACTGCACGTGAAAAGCAGGTAACTGCTCACACAGACCGGCCTGCTTAGCACAGACGCCGCACACTCCCTGCGGGGGCTGCTGAGCTCCTAACTTATCTGAAGATGTGTCTCTTGCTTTGCTGAGGCGGAGCGTGTGGTCCAGGGGCACCGTTGTGCAGCGATCCCGGAAGAAACAGGCTGGGCTGGTGTTGGCTTTACTGTGTTTCTGTACCCTCCTCAAATACAACCCCCACATGCATTCTTTCTGGGAGGCAGCCGCTACCTACCATCTGCAAGTTTCGCTTCAGAGATCCGAGGGAAGGAGCCAGGAGAAAGCCGAAAGGAGACAGTAGGAAGAGAAGTGACATGGAAAGAATTAAAGGAGAGAAGGCAGAATGGGTCATGTGGAGCCTTCTCTGGGCTGTATTGGCCTGATGAGACATGCACCCTGGTTGTGTCCGATACCTCCCCTCCCTGAGTCTCTTCCTGGTGGGTTCTGTGCTCCCTGCAACCTGCTGGCCAGGGCCACTGGTGTCTTTATTGTGTTGTAATACAGGGGGCCTCACAAGTGCTGTGTAGAGGGTGTCTGTGGCCCTCTGGAGCACATCTCATAGAACCATAGAATCAGAGCTCATCGAGTCCAACGCCCGCTCGTAACAGGGCCGAGCCCAACTCAATCACCCCAGCCAGGGCTTTGTCAAGACGAGACTTCAAAACCTCTAGGGATGGAGATTCCACCCCTACCCTAGGGAACCCAGCCCAGTGCTTCACCACCCTCCTAGGGAAATCGTTTTTCCTAATATCCAACCTCGACCTCCCCCACTGCAACTTGAGACCATTGCTCCTCGTTCTGCCGTCTGCCACCCCTGAGAACAGCCTCTTGGGAACCCCCCTTCAGGTAGTTAAAGGAGGCTATCAAATCCCCCCTCCCTTCTCTTCGGTAGACTAAATAATCCCCAAATCCCTCAGACGCTCCTCTTAGAGAACATGTTCTCCAGCCCCCTCGTTTTTAGTGCCCTCCACTGGCCTCTTTCCAATGTGGCCACCTCCTTTCTATAGTGGGGGGCCCAGAATTGGACACAATACTCCAGATGCGGCCTCACGAGTGCTGAATAAAGGGAATCATCGCTTCCCTAGATCTGCTGGCAATGCTCCTCCTACTGCAGCCCAATGTGCCGTTAGCCTTCTTGGCTACTAGGGCGCCCTGTTGACTCTTCTGAGGCTTCTCATCCCCAGGCCCTTTTCTGCCCAACAGCTGCTGAGCCAGTCGGCCGTTTGTGGGGAGGGACCATAGCAGGTCCACAGCCTGCGCTCCCCGCTCTCACCTCTCACTGAGGTGGGGGGGGTTAGATAGGGAACAGTTGCCCCTGCTGGGCTCTCCCCTCCCCAGGCGACACAGAGGATAGTCACACCTACGACACCTGTGGCAGTGCCACCCAGTCTCCATGGGGCACACTGGGGAGAGGGCGTTGCCTAGCTCCAGGCAGGGGGTGCATGGAGTCAAGGACCTGCCAGCCCCTCCCCTACCCACAGTGGTGTGGGAGAGACCTTGCAGGGCAGTTTTCGGGGGCTCCTGGCAGCCTGCTCCCTGCAGAGGGGACCCAGGCAGGCTGGGCTGCATCCCGCCAGCCTTGCTGCTAGCGAGTGGGGCCATTCCGCCCACAAATCCCTGGGCAGCCAACCACCCAGAGTCACTAACCGAGTCCAAATGGCCATGCACGTTGCAGGGAGGTAATACGATCCTGCCCTGCACCACCTCCTGCCTCTGGATAGGGCTGGGGAGCTTAAGGGGCTCATCTGCCCTCCGTACCTGCTCCAGCTGCAGCTGCGTCACCCTCTGTGACACCAAGTCTCCCAGCATGATCTCCACGTAGGGGTAGCTGGAGCCGGCCGTGGGCCGCTGGGTCCGGGTGGACTGGATCTCCTTCAGCGAGAACTTCACAATCAGCTCCTGGGGCGGCAGGGCAGCTCCTTTAGACATGCACCCCCCACCAGGGATACACTCCCTTATGTACAGCCTATGAGCCCCTTCCTACCCTGCCATGGCCTTTTATCATTGCAATCGTGCTTAGGAGCCAGCGTCAGAGACCGGACTCCACCGCGCCAGGGGCTGTACAAACCCAGAACAACAGGACAGGCCTGGCCACAAAGAGCTTCCAATCTAACCCTAGGACAGGAGACTCTCATGGATACCGAGGTGGGAGGGGAACACCAGGAAACAAGAACAGCTACCCCTGCCTTGGGCCCTTTGGGTAACCCATCTCCAACAGTCGTTGCAAAATTGCTGGGGCTCACGTGGAACAGCTTTGCACTGAGAGGCAGACCCAAGCTGGGGTGGCCACTCTATGGACAGGACACCCCCCAGGCCACTGGGCTTAGCCCCGTGGTCCGGTCCAACGGGGAGGGTCGCAGCGACAGCAGAATTAAGCCATTGCCCGACAGAGAGGAGGCTCCGGTGTCTCACAGGCGGGTCGCTGCCATGGGAGGCACAAGGCTGAGCTCTGGGGGGCCTCTGTGTTGGGGCTGCCAGGGCAGTCGGGAGGGAGGGGGAGATCTCAGCCCTCGCAGCACAATGTGGTGCTTTCACGCTGACTTCCAAATTGAGGGCATTGGCCCTTTACTGGCCTGGTCGGGAGCAGGTGGCTGCTGGGAAGCCCCTGGCCCCCTGCCAATCTGCCCACTGCCCGTCTGGATGGGTTCCACTCTCGGAGCCAGCCCTCCTAGGGCAGAGGTCACCCCAGTGGGCTACGGCCAGGCCGACGTGCTCCTGTCCCTTTCAGAGGGGAAGCAGCTGGCCCAAACTTGCAGGGGCCGTTCAGCCCTTTGCATGCCCCGGGGGCTCTCCTGGAGCCCCCCCATGCTGGCGGGTAGCCCTCCGAGCCTGAGCCAGCCCACACGTACGCCAGGCCTTGGCCATCACTGCACATGGCATGTCAGGAGAGGGACCGGGCAAGGGCTGCCTGCTGCCCCCCACACCTACGTGGGTGTCCTTGTTGAGGAAGTTGAGCCCGTTCTGGTTGACAGCCAGGATGCACGGCGAGACGATGGCGTTGTTGCTGCAGCTCTGGATGTAGAAGAAGGAAGAGCCGAACATGGGGAAGGCGCTCAGGAGCCCTGCCCAGACAACATGCAGTCAGCAAAGACCTGCCCTGGGCTGAGCCATGTGGGATAGGGCCACAGGGATGTAAGGGGGGGCCATTGAGGCAGGCGGTAGTACTGACACTGTCCAGTAGGGGGTGGCATTAGGTCCTACCACCCTGCTGGTGGAAGCTGCTCTGACCCCGCCCCTTCTAAACATCCTACAGCTGCTCTGGCCCCGCCCCTTCTATAGAGCCCCGCCCCCTCTGGGCTCTCCCGGGCTGTCTGTTCTGGCGCGAGGCTCTGCGTGGAGGCCAGCTGCTTGGGGAGAGCATCAGGCCCTCTGCGAGGGCTAGAATCAAATCAGCACCAAGCCTGGCAGGTGCTTCAGTCTAACTCTGGGGCTGGGACCCTCACAGCAGGGACAGCCCGTCCTGGGGGATTTCAGCTCTTTGCACCTGGCGGGGGCATCGCAGGGGCCTCAACTCCCCCCTGGCTCGGCACGCCCGGTTCCCCACACGGCACACCCGGTCTCTTGCACAGCTTCCGCCTCAGCCTCTGCTGCTGGCTTGGGAGTCGTTTGGGAAGCGACATTTTGCATCGCTGACGAATGAGCAGAAGCCAGGACGCCCAGGGGAGCACTAAGGGCATGGCAGGGACCTGGGGGGCACTGCTGGGCCCTGCCGCTGCCAAGGCCCAGCCATGGTGTGGGGCAGCCAGGGGGCTCCTCTCTGTTGCTGGGGCCGAGGGCAGGCCTGAGCTGTTCTATCCCAGGCTCTGCCCCACCTGCAACCACGATCTCCTCTGACCTAAGAGCTCCCCAAATCCCGGCTCGGGCGTGGCCACGTTGCCCACCCCTGGGCCCGGCAGGGGCTGGCTTACCGAGGAACTGAGCTCTGGCCTGGTGGGCGCTCAGGGCCTGGACCTGCGGCATATGCTGCAGCACCATGTTGAGCCACGACTGAGGCTTCAGCGCCCGGCAGAACTGGGGCGGGACGTAACCCTGCACCTCGCGGCTGCGGGGGGAGGGAGAGAGACAGGGAAAGGTCACAGCCTTCCCCAGGCAAACACCCCCTGCCCCTGTCACAGGATGGAAAACCCGCCCCAGCCATCCCCCAGTGCGTGCTGGGCCGCAGAGAGCCGGGTGGGGGGGAGAACACAGACCCCGCCCGGGCTAAAACAGCCGGGCTCAGCCCTGAGAGGGACCCCTCACCTGCTGGTCCCCTTGCTGACGGGGAGTCCCTCATCCCTGCCAACGGGGGATTCCCCAACCCCCTCCCAATTCACCACATCCCGCCTCGGTCCCTCCCACCAGTCGATAGCAGAGCCGTATGGCAGGGGGGGGCATCCGAGCACAGGCCCCACCCTGCAGTGACTCGCACATGCACCTAGCTTTGTGTCCCCCCTTCCATCACATGCCTATGGGGGGCCGAGCGGGCTGATGAGTGTTTCCCCCGCAGGCCGCCTGCCCTCTGCTCACTGCCACTTCCCTCGGAGCCGCTCTGCTCCTTAGGGCACTAACCAGAGTCCCCTGGTCTGGTTAGCAGGGGGAGTCAGAGCAGCTCTGCACCTCCACGCAGGGCCCGGCAGCAGGAGTCCCGGAGACAAGGGCACGTACCCAGAGTTCAGTCTGAATACGCGGCAAACCTTGGCTGGACCTGCCAGCTGATCTGCGCCCTGTTAGGAATTCAGTGAGGTCCAGGGGCTGGGCAGACCCAGGCGGATCGGATTGCAGAGTCTGCCCGCAGGCAGCTACGTGCTCAGCCTGGAGGACCGGGGAGGCGAGCCACCAAGCGGACACTGCTGCCAGGACACCCAAGCCACAAGGCAGCCTCAGTCCACGGTGCTTGGTCCGGGACCGAAACTCCTACCTGAGTTCATCTTTCTGCTCATTTAGGGATTATGGAAGTGGAGGGGATTCTCTCACCTTTCCTCCTGCCTCAGGCTGCTCCCCCGGGGGCGGCGGCTTCGCACTCGCCTGAAAGCTGTGCCCCCCAGGAGTCAAACTCCAGGAATTCCCCGGCCGCAAGGGCCATGTGGGATCTAGTTCCCCGCCACAGGAATGGTCAGACTCCGATTTGAGACCCTTCTTTTGCATCGTCTCATTGCGGGCAGCCACTTCCCCACGCGAGCGCCGCGCTGGGGGCTGTTCTGCGCCGTCGCCCAGGGGTTCGGAGCCCCCGGGTTCAGCGCCGCCATGGTGCCAGCAGTCTTCCCCGAGTTCCTGCATCCACTCTGGGGCTGGGCTCCCCCTGGGCTCTGGCTGGGAC